GTGCGCGGCAGGTCGACCCAAACGTCGTTGTCGCCCATCGCCAGGTGCACGGGGCGCCCCGCGGCCGCGGCGTCGTCGGCGCCGGGCCGCGAGGGCCACCTCCGCAGAATCGCCGGCTGCTGGTCGCAGCCCTCCCTCGCCACATCGACCAACAAATGCGTGACCCACCACGGCACCTTGCACGCGACATGCTGACCGTCCGACGCCTCCCCGAGGTCCAGCCGCGGCCCCACCCAAGCGCCGTCCAGGTCCCGGAGGGAGATGCTGCGGGCCATGGCGAGCTGCACCCGCCCTACCCCAGGCGCGCGATGACGGCCCTTGAGCCAAAATGGTGGCTACGGAGGGCAGGAAGATGAGGAGGGTGAGAAGGAGGGATTGGGCCAAGGTGACAGGGCACCCTTGAACGGAAGAAGCAGGCACCACTCAGAGGATGCCCAGAGTCGAGGGATGAAAGGCGCGCTGCCTCAAAGGCCCACCCCCAACGCCAACTTAGACCACATGTGCAACTGCCCGACGCTCTCCCCCCCCCTCGGGGACGCACTGACCTGGGTCAATGCAAACCCAGGTCAATCGGGCTGTGCAGGATCCAGCAAGATCCCGCAGGATCCTGAACCCAGGCCCCGGTCAATACACCCTGGATCCTGCGGGATCCTGCAAGCTCTGGCGCTCTGGCTGACCCCCGTCTGCATTGACCCCCGTCTCTTGAGCCCCCCCGTGCTTTTCTACTCTGTCGGCACGGCCGCGGCGCCAGCGTCCGGCGGGCCGCCCAGCGGCCCGCTCGCCGCGCCGCCCGAGGTCCCTATCAGCCGCACGAGGGCTCCGTGCCCGAGAGCGAGCACGGGCATCAGGGAGATGGCGCCTCGGAAGCACGACGACGACGACGACGACGACGACGACGACGACGACGACGACGACGACGACGACGAGGGCGGGATGATCCTCGTCTCACAGGCTGCCGTCCGTAGTCCAATCTGAGGCCCCTGCCAAGGGCCTGGTCCGACCCAGCTGGCAGGGATCCGAGAGAGAGGTGCTGATGCTTCTGCTGCTGCTGCGCCTCCTCCCGTGGCGCCTCAGAAGCCCGCGCCCCTGTCCATGCCGAGCAAGGGCATGGCCCAATCCAACAAATAGCTCTAAAAGAGACAATGGTGATGATCCTCCTCCTCGTCCTCTTCCTCCGCCTGCTCCTTCTCTTCCTCCCCCTCCTTCTCCTCCTTCTCCTCGTTCTCCTCCTCCTCTTCCTCCTTCAGGGCATCAGGATTACGCTGGTGTCCATGATGATCCAATGCCCGATCCTAAGCCTGAGCGACACTTCTCACGCGCCCACAGCAAAGACGCTCCTCTTTCTCCTCCCGCGCTCGTTCCAAGACCAGACCTCCAACGTCGCGTTTTTTTCTTGACGTTGCCCCTCCAATGCTCATGGCCTCATCCCCAGGACTGGTTGTCCGTTCCAGAATCGTCCCTTGGCCCTAAGCTGCCCCCTGAAAGCCCAAACTACGAAACAGCCGGCGGCCTCGAATTTCAGAATCCTCCTATGTTGTTGGGTCCTCGTTTTCCGCCGACCGCTTTGGGATCACCAGGCGTGTGAGATTGTTTCCCCTCCCATACTCGCTCCCCGCTGGATCCAAACTTGCCCATTTGAGGGGGAGGGGGTGGGGGGTGGGGCTGGGTCCAGACAGTCCAGGTGCGATCTAATCCGGGGGGCTTTGGGAGCCCAAGACAGCCCCAAGATGCCTTAAGACACACCAGCATGGCCAGAAGATGGCCAAAGACGTCCTTCAGACGGCCCACGATGGCCTCCATTTTATGGTGCATGTTTGCATAAGAACAATGAGCCCCCAAGAGGCTCTCAAGAGGACCCAACAGGCGCCAAGAGACCCCAACAGTCGCCCAAGAGGCTCCCATGCCTTTCAAGAGGCACCCGAGAGGTCTCGAATAAACCACGAATAAACTCAGGAGAGGCCCCCTAAGAGGTCCCAGTGTATTTCGAAGAAGCGTCCAATGGGCCCCACGAAGTTCCCCAAAGGCTCAACGAAGCCCTCAAGAGGTTCCCGAGAGGGCGCCAAAAGGCCCCCCAAGAGGCTTCCTAGAAGCCCCAACGAGGTTCCATGAGGCTTCGACGCGCTCCTCGAATAACGTCGACACTTTTTTGATCCGCGGGTCGAGAGCGAGCCTCTTCCGGTCGAAGCTAAGCGGGCCGCGCACAGCTTTAATTGATAGAGGGGGGAAAACAGAGGGAGGGGCCTCACGTCAAGGCCAAGAGAGGGCAAAGCCCCGGGATCAGGCGGTGCCGAAGGCGAAGGGCGTGCAAAGGTACGCCTTGAACAGGAACCTGGAGGCGAAATACCGGGAGGCAAAAAGCCGGTGGTGGTGCCGTCAGCGCCGAATCATGTACACCAGCCCCATCAAGAATGTCGACACACGCATCCCTTTATACTTCTGCCTGCTCCTCCCCCTCTCCTCCCCATCCTAAGCCTCATCTTCGTCCTCAGCCCTCATTTTTGGGGGCAGCCTGCCCCCAAAAAACCAGCCACAATCAAACCGGATCCTTAAACCTGGGGCAACACGGACAACACGTAGAATGGAGGGGCCGCCGGATGTGGCGTCTCCGAGGAGAGGGGGCCTTGCCCCATGTAGTCGGCACACTACTCAGCACACTCAACACACTCAGCACGCTCCTCCTCCTCCTCCTCCTCCGTCCCGCCTCTCCCTCCCGCTGCTGCTGCTGCTGCCTGCTGCGTGGTGCTGCTCCGACGCTGCTGCCCCCGCCGCTGCCATGCCGCCGCTCCCTCGCGAAGCTCGTGCCCCCGCGGGGAGCTCCGCACGCGGTCTCCGCGGGCGCGCCCGTGCGGGGCCGCCCCGCCCCTTTCGGCCCCCCCCCTCGTACGCTCCCCGTGCCCGCAGGGAGGTCCGCTGCGGCCCAGCAGCGGCGCTCTCATGGCGTTTCGGCCCGCTCCCTTCGGCACAGCCCGAAGACGACGTGTCGTGCCTCTTGGAAGGGGGGGCTCTACAGATACAGCCCCAGCCCCCGTGAGGGCGTTCGGGAGACCTCGCCCCGCCCCTTTCGGCACACCCCTGACCAATCTCATGCCCCACACGGAGTTTCACCTGCGGTCCCGTCGCCAAGCCCGTTTCGGCACACGCCTCACGCGTTTCGTGCCCCACAAGGAGCTCCACATACGGCACCATCCAGGCCGTTCGCATAGCGCCCCGCCCCCACGAGGCGCCCCAACCGCCTCCAAGAGGCCCTCTTGGGGCTCCCCACGACACCCCAACACATATACAAGAGAAGTCAGAGCCACAACTCAGGCACCGTGGCGGGATGGGTCGAAAGCCACTAAGATCCGCCGCCCCCTGTTGGCTTGCCACAGGGGTGCCCGGCATGGTGGACCCTTTCGGTTTTTGGTTTCGGCTCTTTTTCCAAAAGAACTATCCCCCGGGGCTCCGGCCCAGCCCGCCGGCCACCCGGAAAGGACTGCAAATGCACGCAAACGACCTCAACGTCCGGAACAAATCCTCCAAGACAGCTCAAGACTGCCTCCTAGAGGGTCGAGATGGCCCAAGATGGCTCCAAGTTCGCCCAAGATGGTCCAAGATGGCCTCCAAGACGGCCCAAGAGGGTCCAAGATACTTCCAAGTCCGCCCAAGAAGCCTCCAAGACGGCCCAAGACTGCTCAAGAGGTGCCCAAGAGGCCTCCAATACGGCCCAAGAGGCCTCCGAGAGGTCCTCCAGCAGGGCCCGAAGAGGCCCAAATATATATATATATATATATATTATATATATATATATTATATATATATATATATATATATATATATGTATGTATATATATATATATATATATATATATATATTTAGATTTTCGTATTTCCTCGTTTTCGGCCTTCGACGGCCCAAACCTGCCCAAGAGGCCCCCAAAATCGCCCCCAGAGTGCCCAAAAGGCCCCCAAAATTGCCTCAGGACTGCCCAAGAGGCCCCCAAGACGGCCCCAAGAGGGCCCAAAGACGACCCAAGAGGCCTCGAAGACGCCCAAGAAACCTTCCAAGACAGCCTTGGAGCATTCCAAGAGGGCCCCAAGTCGGCCCAGAGAGGCCCCCCAAGACGGCTTCCGACGGCGTCAGACGGGCCAGGAGCCCACCAAGACGGCCGAAGATGGCCCTAAGATGGCCCAAGACGGCCCAAGAGGCTTCCAAGAGGGCCTCCAGGAAGGCCCGAAGAGGCCAAAATCATGGATCTTCCATGGTTTTTGAAGGATTTTCGTATTTGTTTCTTTTCGGCCTACCGACGGCCCGAGACGGCCCAACAGGCCTCCCAAAATCGCCCCGAGAGCGCCCAAGATGCCTCCAGGATGGTCCCAGCACGGCTCAAGAGGCCCCCAAGACAGGCCCAAGAGGGCCCCAAAGACGGCCCAAGAGGCCTCCAAGACGCCCAAGATGGCCTCTAAGACGGCCCTGAAGCACCCCAAGGGGGCCCCAAGTCGGCCCAGAGAGGCCTCCAAGACGGCTTCCGACGGCGTCAGACGGGCCAGGAGACGGCCGAAAGAGGATCCCGAGAAGCCTCCGAAGGCCCCCAAGAGGCCTTCAAGAGGGTCCCCAAGATGCCTCCAAGAGGCTCCCAGGAAACTCCCAGGAGGCCCCAAGAGTGTTCCCAGAGGCTCCCCAAATGCCCCCTCCTCCTCCTCCTCCTCCTCCTCCTCCGCCTCCTCCTGATCTTCCTCGCCATCCTCCCCCAAGTGTTCCCCGAAGGGTTTCCACAACGGCTGGGGAAACACATGGTCCGTTAGCTTGGCAGAGCTCTTGCCACAACGCTCGGCCACATGGGCGATTCTAGAAGGCAGGGGGCGGCGGTGATTCGCCGTAGGCGTCTTCGATAACGCCGACGTGTCAATATGCGGTGGTGATTCCTATCCGCCCCCGCATGATGTTCCCAGATGCGCCAAGGCAGCGCCGAGACGCACCGACGCGACTCTGATATGTCCCACTCTGATGGAGAGGGGGCCGGCGGCAGGGGGCGAAGCCCTTACGGATAACGCAGGGGCGCACACGACTCGCTCCGGAAACCCTGAAGGCAAGAGTCTCTCACCCCCTGAAGGCAACTCACGCTTCCGCCGGCTTTCGCCAGCGAAGCCGCCCTCGTTTCACTCCCGCCGCTCTCCGCCGAGGAAGAGAAGCCACCCCCTCGATCCCTCGAAGGCGAGACTCTATGGAGCGCCCCCTGTGCAGAGCCCCGGACACCTTCCCTGGGGACAGTTCTCGTCCTGGTTCCATTCTTGATGGCCCTGGGGCCTGAGAGCGACCTCTTGGAAGGTGAGATCTAGGGCAAACGCCCATGCTGACAAAACCAACACTGCGAATGCCTGGAGGGCGTTTCCCGTTGGACTCAGGCAGATTCACTTGCTCGGCGTCCCCCCCCAATCCCACCACTACACCGTGTTGTCAACATCGCTGGGCTGAGAAGGCGTGCAAGTGAGCCCCGACTTGCCTGACGTGCAGCTCTCCTGTCGGGCCTCGCCACGCACCCCACCCACCCCTCCCCGTCCACGCACGTGGACTCGGCAGCGCCTAAAGCAGAGCAGCCTCCTGGGACCATGAGACCCTCTGAGGACGGCACAGACCTCCGCCACGCCCGCCTCCTCGGCGGCCTCGGCCAACGCGGCGGCGGCGGCGCGCTCTGCGCCAGGGCCCCGCAGGGCGAGCTGCGCCTGCAGGCCGATGCCTGCCGGCGGCCCCGACGATGCGGAGACGCCGAGCGCCTCGCCGAGGCGGCCGCCGCGCACCGCCGCAGCCGCCGCCGCCGCCGCCGCTGCCGCGGCGCACAATCGCCGCCGCCGCCCGCCGCTGCCGCCGCCGCTGCCGCCGCTGCCGCCGCCGCCGCCGGGTGCCTCCCAAGTGGCCGCCGCGCACCGCTCCACCATGTGCCGAACCGCCTCGGGCGGCAGCTCCGCCGCCTCGGCCCCTCGCGGGGGGCAGGAGCAGAGGCGGGCGCCCGGGCTCCTCGAGACTTTCTCGGCGGCTCTGAGCTCGGCTACACGCAGGAGTGACCCCATGGGCAAGAGTGACCTTCGGTGCGCGGCTTTCTGGGGGCCGCGGGGGAGGGCCGAACACGAGCGCGCAAGACGCTACTGCCGCACCGCGTTCGGCGAAGGGTCACTCTTACGCGCAGTCGAGACTTTCTCGGCGGCTCTGAGCCGTCTTCGGGGGCCCGGCCTCGTCGAAAGCTCCCAGAAGGAGGGGGGCCGGCATCGTCGCAGTCGGCCCTGACTACCACGGGCTGCGGCCTGAAAGCCTGCAGCTCCGCAGGCAAGGGAGGTGAGAAGAGAAAACCGGGCGCGCATGGTGCTGCAGCGAGCAAGAGGCGGTACAGACATAAGCTTTGGGGAGTCCGCACGGATCACGCCAGGGGACCTCAACCCCTTCCCGCAGTCCCCCTCCTCCACGCCGCCACCCACACCCCGTCCCGCGGAGCGCGCCAGGGGCGGCGCCGAGGGCGGCGCCGAGAGCACGGGGAGTTGGGCTTTCCACCGCCCGCCGAGGCAGTCCGTGCGGAGCTCCTCCAAAGCTCGGTGACCTTGCGGGCAGGGGCATGGCGGGCGTCTTTGTGTGGCTCCCCTCCGCCTTCGGCGGGGACGAACTCCGCCGAGCTGACGCGTGCGCCCGCGACCTCGCGGGCCACGCACGAGACCGCTCCCGCCACTGGGGCCGGCACGCCCGCGGGAGCCCGCGCCTCCAGCACCTGCACCGTCGCAGGCGCGGTGCTGCCTGGAGTGCACGTCACGTTGATCTCGACGTCCGCGGGCGTCTTAAAAGGGGCTCGCGGGGCACGGTCAGAGAGCGATCGACGACCGAGGACAACACGACCTTTGGTGTATTCGGCCCTCGATGTGCCTCTGGGTGCCTCCAGAGACCTCTGGAGCACTTGCTGAGGGGGCCTGCGAGCATTGCGTATGTGTTTCTGTTGGCATTGTAGATCGATGTAGGTACGGCGAACGACCACCTTGGACCACTGGATTGGCATAGGAAGCAGCCAGCTGCCAGCTGCCGAGTCCGCTGCGCAAGGGGGGAATCCACCCTTGCAGCCCCAGGGGAAAGACACGCAGGGTGCTGCGTGTTGCGCGCGTGAGCGCATACCTGAATCCCCCAAAAATGCGTGGCGTGGTCATTGCCCGATTACCGTGGGTCGTTTGCGCACCGGGGTGCCAACGGCAGGGCGGTCGGGGGTTATACAAGCATCTTTCGCACAACAGCAAACCCTCTACTGCACCTAGGCCTGGCCTTTCTCGATCAATCCCCTTGCTCAGCGATCGCGCTGCCACCACTAGGAAGATCACGGCGAGACTGGCCTCTTGTTGCCTCCTCCCGATCATCAGAATATGATCAACTACGTAAACATGTTTTCCAGTGTGGATTTCCCAAAATGGGTTGTTGCGCTCTCGATGTGCGCGCTATGTGGTGCAATCACCGTGATTCAATCTGTGTGGTACAATATCTGTAATTCGATTAAGTTTGCCAGATCTTGAATTGTCCACTCCACTGCTCGCGCAATCATCCCACCCTCCCACCCGCAATTTGGCTTGCAAAACCCATGAGGCGGCGATTGTGATGACAGCTTGGCAATGACGGGCGCATGCTGCGGCCGCGCTAGCGCGCGCAAGCTCGCACGCAGAGCGCCCAGCTAGTCTGGCAAAACCTACGCGGCCACGGTGGCGCTGATCGATGGGAACTCCCTAGCGCGTCTCACAGGCCGCGCTGGCGCGCGGACGCTTCAATGCGGGTTGGTGATTTGGGCGGGCGCGGTATCATGATGACGGCGTCAGCGGCGGAAACGATTATGATAGTAGCAATGATGGTGACAATGATGACGATGACGGCGGCAAGGCCAATGACGGCGCCGATACTGGTCACGCCTGTGACGATGATGACGTCCATGCGTTACTGATCGAGGTTTTGGAATGATTTGGACATGCGCGTGCGGCCGACGCGCGCGAGTGGCCCGCATGATATTTTTGTCAGGGGCCGTCCCCCAAGCTAGCGCAGCGCCCGAAGGCGTTCGAATGATGTCGGCAGCGCGCGTAAGAGGTCCGCGTGGTGTCGTTTGACGGAATGTTGAATCAACTCAACGTTTTCGTGAGAATTTTCATGAGCGCGCATGTTTTTTGGGTGTTGAAGCGCCAATGTTCCCCAACCATCCTGTGGTGTTGGGTCTTCGTTTTGAAGAGACGGTCCTCACGTTCTTCTCCTCTCCTCTCCTCTCCTCTTCCTCCTCCTCCTCCTCCTCCTCCTTCTCCTGCCCTCCTCCTCCTCCTCCTCCTCCTCCTCCTCCTCCACAATTACTGAATATGAATACTACTCTCCCTCTTCCCCTGATGACGGTTTGAAAGTGCTCGACCCCCCGCGTACTGTTTTTTTGCACGCAAGTTTCCCCTGAATTGGGTTTTCGCCTGCATTTTTTTCAAAATGCTGCTCTCGCTGAGGCGCCGGCCTCATTTTCGGGCCCCGCTCGTTCCGAATCGTGCTCCCGCTGCAGCGCTGGCCTCATTTTCGTGCTTCCGCTCGTTCCGAATCGTGCTCCCGCTGCAGCGCTGGCCTCACTTCCGCGCTTCCGCTCGTTTCGACTCGTGCTCCCGCTGCAGCGCTGGCGTCATTTCCGGTGCCATGCCACGGCATGCAGTGCAATGCTAGGTCCATACTACGCTTTGCGATGCTCTTCTACGCCATGCCATGCCGTGCTCTACAATGCATCGCGTACCCTTTCGGGATCCTTGCCCTGCTCGACATCCGACTGTGCGAGTAGAGAGGGGATCTACGCCATGGTGAGGGATGGGAGGGAGGGGTAGGATGTCAGATATGACGCGAACTCACCTAGCGTGTCCTCCTCCTCCTCCTCCCCTCCTCCCTCCTTCCGTCAACCCCCTCACTTTGGCACACCCGTGACACGTTTCGTGGCCCCATAGGGAGCTCCACGAAGGCCCCTGTGGGGGTGCCCGCATGCGGTCCCCCCCACCCAGTGCAGCGCTTCGTGGCCCCATAGGGAGCGCCACCGAAGACGATTTTCACATTCGTGGTACTCACAACTGCGTATGGTTGGGTCCTTCGCCAGCATCATTTTATTGGGCCAAGGGCCATGGAAAAAGCGCCCCCCTCCCCCTGGGGACCCCGGAAAAAGCGCTCCCCCTAACGAATTTGGCCCGCCCCTGGCCTCTAGGGCAACCCTCCAGACGACCCAGAGAAACCCACGAGAGCTCGAAGGCGGTCCCAGGGGGCTCCAAGCGTTCCGGCGCGCTCCCAAAACGACCCCAAACAGCCCCAAGACGGTCCACGACGACCCCAATTAAGCCGTCATGCCCGTAAAGATCCGGTGAAAACGTCCGAAGAGGCCTCCAAGAGCACTCCCAAGAATGCCCCAAGAGGCAACATTCATTGATTTTCTGTTGGCTTTTCCCAACCATCCTGTGGTGTTGGGTCCTCGTTTCACCTCACCTCCCGCGTTCCTCCCCCTCCTTGCCTCTGCCCTCCGCATGTCTTTGTTTCGGCACACGCAGTGCAGCGTTTCGTGGTCCCATAGGGAGCTCCACCGAAGGCCCCAATGGCAAGCTTCGCATGCGTCCCCCCGCCCATTTCGACACACCCCTCACGCACTCCGTGGCCCCCATAGGGAGCTCCACCGGAAGACCCTAGTAGCAGGGTTCGCATGCGTGCGTCCCCCCGCCAATGTCGGCATACCCCTCACACGCTTCGTGGCCCCATAAGGAGCTCCACCGAAGGCCCCAGTGGCAGGGTTCGGATGCGCCCCCCCGCCCGTTTCAGCACACCTCTCACACGCCTTGTGGCCCCCCCCATAGGGAGTTTCACCGAAGGCCCCAATGGCAAGGTTCGCATGCGTCCCCCCGTTCCGGCACACCACTCACATACTTCGTTGCCCCATAAGGAGCTCCACCGGAAGACCCTAGTAGCAGGGTTCGCATGCGTCCGCCCGCCCCGTTCGGCACCCCCCTCACACGGTTCGTGGCCCCATAGGGAGCCGAAGGCACCAATTGCAAGGTTCGCATGCGTCCCCCCGCCCATTTCGGCACACCCCTCACGTGTTTCGTGGCCCCCCATAGGGAGCTCCACCGAAGGCACCTGTGGCAAGCTTCGCATGCGTTCCCCCGCCCATTTCGGCACGTCCCTCACAAGTTTCGTGGTCCCATAGGGAGCTCCACAGAAGCCCAAGTGGCAGGATTCGCATGCGTCCACCCAGAGCTCCACCGAAGGCCCCAGTGGCAGGGTTCGGACGCGTCCCCCCGCTCGTTTCGGCACACCCCTCACGCACTTCGTGGCCCCATAGGGAGGAAAGGCACCAGTGGCAGGGTTCGCATGCGTCCCCCCGCCCATTTCGGCACGTCCCTCACAAGTTTCGTGGTCCCATAGGGAGCTCCACCGAAGGCCCCAGTGGCAGGGTTCGCATGCGTCCCCCCGCCCGCCTCGGCACACCTCTCACACGCCTTGTGGCCCCCCATTGGGCGCTCCACCGAAAGCCCAAGTGGCAGGATTCGCATGTGTTCCCCCGCCCATCTCTGCGTACCCCTCACACGCCTTGTGGCCCCCCATTGGGAGCTCCACCGGCCCCAATTCAGCATACCCCTCACACGGTTCGTGGCCCCATAAGGAGCTCCACCGAAAGCGGTACCCACAATGAGGCACCCGCATCTGCAAAATGGTTGGGTCCTTCGTCATGCTAGTTGGTGAATTTTGGGGTTCTCGTCTTTTCGGCTTCCCGACGCTCCAAGACGGCGGTCTTCTGGGCGTCCGAAGCCGCCTGGGAGGCTTGAAACTCGCCCCGCAATCATCCGAAAGGGATTCCAGGCAATCCAAGGGAGCCCAAAGACGGCACAACAGGGTTCCAACATGGCCTAAGAGAGCCCCGTGACGGCCCACGATGGCCCCAAGACGCCCTCCGAAGCACTCCAAATCGTTACCCGGTTGTTCAGGGAAACCGCGAACATGAAAAACTTCCGTGAGGCCCCCAGAGGCGCTCAAAGGAGGAGCCTCCGCAATTAGCCTGGCGAAGGACCCAACCATATGCAGTTGTGAATACCGCAGTTGTTGGTATCGTCTTCGGTGGAGTGTAGGGCCACGAAGCAGTGTACTGGGTGGGGGGGACGCATGCATACTGCGCCACTGGAACCTTTGGTGGAGTTCCCTGTGGGGCCACGAAAACCTTTACTGGGTGGGGGAGACGCATGCGGGCTGCGCCACTGGGACCTCCGGTGGAACTCCATATGGGGCCACGAAACGTTGTACCCGGTGGGGGAAACGCATGCGGGCTGCGCCACTGAGACCTTAGGTGGAGCTCCCTTCGGCGCCACGAAGCGCTGTACTGGTTGTGGGAGGCGCATTGTGCCAGCATGGGGCGGCGCCGCCATGCGAACTGGGTCATGGGGCCCTTAAATGGAATGCCCTACGGGGCCACGATACGTGTGAGGGGTGTGCCGAAATGGGGCGGCGCCGCCATACGAACTGCACCACTTGGACCTTAAATTGAGCTCCCTATGGGGCCACGAAGCGCGTGAGGGGTGTGCCGAAATGGGAGGGCGCCGCCATGCAACTGCACCAGTGGGACCTTAAGTGGAACTCCCTATGGGGCCACGAAACGTGTATGAAGGAAACAACGAATAACATTATTAGAACGGCGATGTCGGGAAAATGGCAACAAATAGTTATCGCTAAATTGTCGGTTTGACCTTCCTGCCGTTCCGCCTGCCTGCCGAACTTCAAGGACCAAGGCGCATGGCGCGAAACGCC